AAATTAAGTTACGAAATTTTTATTAAAATGTTTCTTACGCCAAAACCGGTTGGGCTCAGTGGTAGAGCATTGGACTGCGGATTGAAAGGTCCTAGGTTCGATTCCAGTCAGGGGCATGTACGTTGGTTGTGGGCACATCCCCGGTAGGGGGTGTGCAAGAGGCAGCTGGTCGATGTTTCTCTCTCATGACGTTTCTAGCTCTCTCTCTCTCTCCCTTCCTCTCTGTAAAAAATCAATAATATATATATATTTTTTTAAATGTTTCTTACATTCCATTATATTGACTGGACCACAAAAATATTTGTTGTGAACTGCATGAGGCCTGACGGCCATTTGACATGCTTGTTCTAGAGCAGTGGTTCTCAACTTTTCTAATGCTGGACCCTTTGATACAGTTCCTCATGTTAACCCTACCTAAGTGACCCCAACCATAAAATTATTTTCATTGCTACTTCATAATTGTAATGTTGCCACTGTTATGAATCATAATGTAAATATCTGTGTCTTCCAATGGTCTTAGGCTCTACAGCAGTGGTTCTCAACCTCTGGGTCACAACCCACAGGTTGAGAACTGCTAGCAGGGTCGCCTAAGACCATTGGAAAACACAGATATTTATATTATGATTCATTAACAGTAGCAAATTACAGTTTTGAAGTAGCAATGAAAATAATTCTCTCTCTTCCTCCTTCCCTCCTCTATGTATATACACTAAATGGTCAGATTATTATGATCTCTGAATGGTGTGTGTGTGTGTGTGTATATATATATATATATATATACACTAATAAAATAGAAAAATGCTAATTGACAGTATCTTCACTATGCCCATAGCCAATCAGGAGTGATATGCAAATTATACCAGCAAAGATGGAGGGTAAATTTGCATATGCAGGCTGTAGAGGCAGAGGCCCTATGTGGCTTATGAAGTTGGGGACATGGACAGACAGCGAGGGGCAGCCCCTGAAGTTACCGGTGGATCCAAACTGAGATGGGGACCCAGGCAGGCAGTGTCAGGCAGCTTGGACCCGGGCAGGTGGCATTGCCATCCCAGGGCAAACAAGCCAAGCACAGCCGCCCCATGATCATAGGGCGAAGAGCCCAGGTCCAAGCTGCCCTGAAGAGCCCAGATCCAAGCCACCGCACAATCATGGGGCAAAGAGCTCAGGTCCAAGCCGCCCTGTGATCATCGGTCGAATAGGCCAGGCCCAGCTGCCCCACAGTCATGGGGGAACAGAACAGGCCAGGCTGAGCTGACCTGCGATCATTGGGTAAACAGATCAGGCAGAGCCTGGCCAAGCTGCCCTGCAATCCCGGGCGAAGAAGCCACTCTGCTGACCAACCTGCACTAGGGACCTGTTCCCCTCTAGCCTGCAGCCATGGGAAGTCTCCCTCTCCTGAGAGTTAGGAGCACCAGCCCAGGTCTACCCAGTGGCCTGGTCCTGACTGAGGGGGTGTGTTCCTGCAGGCTGGGGTTTGATCCCCATGCATTAGCAGTAGGAGACCAGTGCCTCTGTTATTGCTGTGTGTCCAGGTTTTAATTGGACAAATGCCCGGCAGTCCCAATGGCCAGCTGAGCAAAATCTTTTATGAGGAGAATTCTGTCTGGGTTTCCTCAAATTCCCTCAGCCCCTACTCACCCCTCTGTAAAGGTGCAGAACAAGTGAGGCCCTTAAATAAAAATCAGCTGCTTCATGACTATGGCATCCCTTCCTATTTTAAAGAAGCAGAGTTCCATGTGAATTGTGCACTATGCTCTGATATCTAAGGCACAGGACAAGGGAGGCCCTAAGTGTACTATGCTTTGATATTTGAGTCATTCTTTATTTTTCAACATAATTTATTTTTGTACGCCTCAGTTTTGTAATAGTTAAATTACTATAATAATACATCTTGCTATAAAATATTACTAGAAGATCAAATGATCAGGTGACATTATTGTTATTTTCTATAAATGAACACAATCTTTGGTATGCTAAAGTGATAGGTATTACAGAAATATTCAGATAGACCTACACACCTGATTACAAGTGAGGCTTACTATTACAACCCAAATTTATTGCTTGAAAAAAAGCAGGAGCCAACTAGAAACTGAACCAAATATAAGCCCTTGAAGGGAAAACGTAAATTGGATAAGCTTCACTATTACAAGAGCAAGAAGAAAAAATTCAGATGCAAGAATGAAAACCACATTGCATCCACTCTAAGTAGCTGTTAAAGAAAAAGAATGGTATACTATGAAAATACTTAATACGGATTGTAAAGACATTTGTTCAAAGAGGATTTCCTTGAGTAGGTGATATTTCAATTAATTTTTTAAAATGCGAAGAGGTTAGCTAGATAACAAAAAGATGGAGGGGTCCCGAATTGCAGAGGGTGCAGGCAGAGCCAGAAATTCATGCACGGAGGAGGGCTCCCCCAGCTCTGCCTGCACCCTCTGCAATTCGGGACCCCTACACCTTTTTCATATATATTGGAGTATATATGAATTCGTGCATGGGTGGGGGTCTGGCCAGCCTGCTGGTGGAACTCCTGATCAAGGGGACAATTTGCATATTAGCCTTATATAGGATATACACTGAGTGGCCAGATTATTATGTGTTCAGAGATTATAATAATCTGGCCACTCAGTGTATGTGTACTTGCTATTGGCACACATATCAATATATACCTACATACATACACATCTTATTTGTTCTGTTTCTCTAGAGAACCCAATACAGGCATCAAGGTAAAACTTCTGAATTTTCCTGATCCCAATGCCTTTCTTTTCCCTGGACCACATGCCAAACTCATGCTTCATGAGGGCGAGTGCACATTCTGTTCCCTATTCCACATCTCAGTTGGACACTCTAGTTTCCCATCTATTCCCCTTGTTTCCAGTTTCCCCACAATCAGCCTGGGCTGCCAGGGAGCCTGGTTCTAGTGCTTTAATGGCCAAGATCTGCACATGTGATCACATGCAAGGAGGTTCAAAGATCGGGAGAGGCAGAAGCAGGGTGGGGGAGGAAATGGCAGAGATAAGACCTCAGGAACTTGTTACAACCCATGGAGTTCTGAGGACCAGCTGTTTTCTGGCCCCACTGAGAAGGTGGCATTGAACCCTACATAAGGCAAAGCTGGGCTTCTCAGAACCACCAGCCAGGAAACAAGGTGCCAACATGAGGCCTATGGAGAGGGCAGGGGCACCACATCTTGCCTGCCAGCACTGGTCCATCTCAGGCAAGACTCCGAGAAGGGTGGGCAAAGCAGGAGCTTGACTTCCAAGAGGCCCCTCGCAGTAAATGGAAGAGAACAGTTAGGGCGGGGCTGGATGGCTGTGGTCTCTTTTGAGCTCTCCACCACCACCCTGGCACCAGCTCCCCACCCCACCTGGATAAGCTCCTCAGTCCCAGAAAATGGAAAAGACCACTGGAGCTGATTTCCCAGGGTGACGGAGGCAAGGACAGAACCTGCGCTCCCACGAGGAAGTGCACCATCTTGGGCTGGACATGGCAGGAGTCTGCCCAGGGCCTTTCTGTGACAGTGTCTGCCAATAATGATGCCTTCTCTTCAGGGACACAGTGGCTCCAGCAAGTGGCTGTTGACTGTCTCAGCCTTCCTTCCTTCCCTAGGCCCTTCTCTCAGCATCACCAGCCAACACTCAGCTCAACCCTCAGAACCTCTCACCTATGCTATTTTCCTAGTTTCTAGAGGACAGTTCTGAGATCTGAAGCCAAAGGATAGGCATCCCCACCCACACGTACACTGACTGGGGACTCTCCGCCCTCCCTACCCACCCCATGTCCTCCTCACCCACCCCGGACCCTCCTCTCCCACCCTGGACCCTCCTCTCCCACCCTGGATCCTCCTCCCCCACCCTGGCGCCCTCCTCTGGCTTTTTCAGCATTCCCTGTGCTCTGGGGGATGTCTGTGAGGGCTGCAGGGGGCGAGGAGAGGGAGGCCGGGGAGTGTGTGTGTGTGCCTGCCTCCCTCTCCGTGGAGCAGTCACAGGAGACTGCATCCCTCAGTTCATGTCACAGCTCATTTCAGTGAACTTGCGCCATCCAGCTCTCTCAGCTTCTGGAGTGTGGTAATTGCTCCTTCCCCTGTTCCTTTGGACTTGAGGGAGTGGATCACTGCACCCTGATTCACATCCCCAGGGCTCCATTATTTTCCTTGCCCACCTCTTTAGTAAACTCTCCTCAAATGACTCAATTTTCTGCCAGGACTCTAACTGATATGTACAGTGTTCCATAGTTTTTGTGCTATAAGCATTGAAAAGCATCCACTTTTCACTGTCTTTTACAAATTGCACTAGAGGCCTGGTGCACAAATTCGTGCACTAGTGGGGTCCCTCAGCCTGGCCTGCAGGATCAGCCAAAACCGGCTCTCCAACATTCCCCAAGAGGGTCCCAGATTGCAAGAGGGTGCAGGCCAGGCCAAGGGACCCCACTGGTGCATGATCAGGGCCAGGGGAGACTGTGGGAGTGCTCCAGGGCATATCCGGCCCATCTCGCTTGGTCCCAATTGACTGGACACCAGCAGTAAGCTTACCTACCAGTTGGAGCATCTTCCCCTGATGATCAGTGCACATCATAGTGACTGGTCGTTTTGTCAACTGTCTGCCCCCTGGTGGTCAGTGCACATAATAGCAAGCAGTTGAGCAGCCTTAGCATATCATTAGCATCTTACACTTTGATTGGTTGAATGGCCAACTGGACAGTTAGCATATTAGGCTTTCATTATATAGGAATTTTGATCATACAGAATAAGCACTGCAACACTATGCATCAAAAGCTGTAAATTTAGTAGGAAAGGGGGGAGGACAGAAAGGGACCCACTGAAGTCCCTTCAGCCCTCACACTTACCTCCCAGAATGTGTTAGACCTTTAGACAACACAAAAGCCAGGGTTTTATCTTCCATTTTATTATGAACCTTATTAAAGCAAGGCTGACTCAAGGTCATATATTTAAAACTAAGATGAAAAATTAAATGTGAGAATATTCTGCCGATTGCTCTTTAGGCGATTACAGGCAGGCACCAGGGCTGATTGTCAAGAGCCCACAGCATCCGGCAGTGGGTGGGCCTGGAAGAGTATGGCTGATACCAGCTTGCACCCAGGCCGCAGCCTTCCTGGCCTCCCACCTGGAAGAGGAGCGTCCGTGGCTTTCCGTTTGCAGCCGGGTCAATGCCACCCACTGCGAAGGCCGCTCCCCTCAGCCGCTGCCCTGGGAAGAGCCGCTTAGCCCTCACAAGATTATTCCTGAGGCGGCTGCAGCTCTCCCTCCATCTGCACCAAGCAGAATCCCTCACCACCGGCAGAGTTCCTCAGTTTGACTTCACACTTCGCACCTGTAGGGTAGGGTGTGAGGGAGACCAGCCCTTCAGCACATTACCTGTGAAACTGACCAGCCTTGAGAGGCAAACTGTCAAGGAGATGGATTCTGTGTTTTATATAAAAATACTTGGTTTTGCTAATTTTTATGAGAGTCTCATACATGTTGTAGATCAGTATTGTTCAATGGAAATATACTGTGAGTTAAAAATGCACACCACATATGTAATGTCAAAGTTCTCAAATAGCTAAATGTTTAACAACAAAGCAGGTAAACGTAATCGTGTTTTATTTACGAATATATATCTAAATATATCCAAAATATTATCATTTTACCTTATAAGCAACACAAAATATCAATGAGCTGTTTTACACTCCTCTCATTAACCAAGTCCTCGGGATTGCGAGTGTGTGTTATCGACTTGGATTGGCCACATTTCAAGTACTCAGTGGCCACATGTGACGAGTGGCTTTTCTATGGGACAGACGATCAGCAAAGTCTAGCTGCAAAGACCTATCACGGACAGACACAGTCTGCCTTTGGCTTTAGTAAAACTGGTATCACACACACTGCTTGGACTCCTTTAGAGCCGCCATCACTTTTTAATTTCCCTGAAACTACATTTTGCATAATTAGATATGGAGACCATTCCATGGACATGTTTTTGCTGCTGTTTTGTTTAGCCTGGTGGGCGGATCATAAGACAAAACAGCTGCCTCTGGGCACCTAAGAGGGACACAACCCAGGAGCCTGGGTGGTCTGGCAGCCCTGGGCCTCCCAGCCTCTCCTCATTCCCCTTCACCAGCCCAGCTGGCGGCCGGTCAGCTGAGGGACAGAGCGCCTGTGAACTCTGACTTCGGGGAAGAATAAAGCCCCAGAAGCTCTTAGAGTCAAGTGTGTGGAGACCAATTTCACCTTTGCCATCACCTGGCCCCTTCGGCTCATTGCGTGGTCAGTTTCCCGCGTTCTCACTGGAGTCCCTGAGCAGCAACGACAGAGGACAGACTTGTTGCAGGCACACGTGTGCCCCCACCCAGCCTGCCGTCTCAATGGATACCTGCACTCAACCTGACTGGCACCTTCCAGAACACCTTATAAAGGGACCGGAAGATGGTAAGCTCCAGGTCATGGTATCCCAGGAAGCAAACCTTTCCCGGCAGGAAACAAAATCACGGGGACACGCAGGGGGCAGACGCCGCAGATGTGCGGCCATGTCCCGCACGCTGACTGTGGGGCTGCTTTCCAAACACTGCACCAAAGGCTGCGTCTGAGCACTGGCCTCTCCGGCCTGCCTCATCATTCCCGGGGCTCCTGCTGCAAATGCCTCGGCCCGAGAGGAGCTTTGGTCAGAAAACCATGACCCTTTCCTTTCCCTGTCACCCCCGGATGTCATACACAAGCACAGCTGATCAGGAAACCGCAGAAGGCTTCGGGGCAGAATTGCGCCTGGCAACCACTTGGGATGAAGCCTTATTCTTCCGGAAACAGATTTTGTTGGCTGGCCTTCGGGAGCCGCCACATCACGACCACCGCTGCTCACGATCTTCGGAGAATGCAGAGGAAGGCTTCCTGCTTCCCCTTTCGAGCCGACAATTTGAAAGCAGCCCAGGATGACACGACAATAGCAACACTGGATTCTCTCCTCTCACCATCTGTCGCTGAGACACAGCTTGCAGGCCTGCCAGGCAAGGCTGTTGCCAAGGAAACAGCCCTGCATTGAACTCCAGTCCTGCTATTAACAGAAGGACACTGCTGTGCCGTCCTGGGCCTTCTCTCTGAGGCCAGGCTTGCAATCCAGGATGGGGAACAAGCTCAGATGGCACCCAGGAGGCTCCCCCTTCACCCTGCAAATGCTTTTTAATTTTCTGGTACTTTCAGTAGCTGCTTCATTTGAATCTCAAATCAAAGTCTCCAAGCCAGCCTGTTTGATAGGATCCAAAGCTGTATTTCCACTGCCTGTTGGACAAATGCTCCTGAAAGTAATGTGCATGCCTCTATTTCAGAGTATTCAAGGTCAAGTTCATCTTATTCCCTCACCCGTCCACACTCCCTCCCCCTCATTTTGCCTAAAACATCTCTCCCCATGCATTTGCTCCCCCCAGAATGGGGAGCCATCCCTCTAACCTCCCAGGGCCACAGTCACAGGATCCCGCTCCCCCCTCCGCCCTCTTCCCATCTGCTTCTCAGGCTTGTTCTTCGGGAGCTTCCCTCAGAGCGTGTCCACTCCCTCTCCTGCCGCCAAGCCCAACTGGACCCTATCTCCTCCTGTGGCCCACCCTCCTCGTGACCAGAGACACAAATTGAAAAGGCAGCACTCTTGGTTAAGAATCTCCAGTGCAGCTCTGGCTGGATAGCTCAGCTGGCTAGAGCATTGTCTTCATACACCGAGATTTCAGGTTTGATCCTCAGTCAGAGCACATACAAGAATCAGTCAGTGAATGCAGAAATAAGTGGAACAACAAACCCATGTTTCCTTTCTCCCTCTCTCTCAAATCTATTTTAAAACATAGTAATAATGAGTCTCCAATGTTTCCTATCAGCTGAAGTCCCACCCCTAGCATGGTATACCATGCCCATGCCAACCTGACCCCCTTCCTTCTGGTTCGATTTCCATTCTCTTCCCCCCACATTCTAACTCCTATTTCCCAAAGCTGGTCCGAGGGCCAGTGGCTAGATATCACCTGGCTGCTTTTCGGAAATGCCAAGCTTCCATCCAGGGGCCTCGGCCCGATTGCCATTCCTCCTCTGCATGTCACTTAGCACTAAGCCCACGATCCGAGTGACCGTTCCTGCCTGCCATCCCCACCAAGGGGCTGGCCCAGAGCCTTCATAATCACATTAATTAACAAAAGTCTAAAGAACAGAGACCTAATAGATCATGATTCTGTTCCCAAGATATGTGAACCGCGGCTGCCAATGTAAGTAAATCGCAGTCAGCCAGAAGACGGCTTAGGGAAAGAAAGCAACGTTTGCCAGAAGGGCCCTGGAGTCCTTTCTGTCTCTGCTGGCTCCCAGCTCCCATGAGAGTGATGCGAGCACTGCAGGTCAGGATGCTGGGGCAAGCAAAGCCTGCCACCTTGGGCAGAAGGTGGAACACAACATGACAATACCCAGATGCTGCCTGGGCTCTGAGCAGAATAGAGAGCACTGGTGGGTGAGTGCCTCCAGCTCTCAGTCTTGAATTCTTAGCTCATTGTAAGGACAGGATTCTCAGGACAACGTGGCTTATAACCACACAGCAGCATGGGAATGGTATGACCTGGGCGGGGTGCAGCATGTGTAAAAGGCAGGTTAGCGAGAAGGCCTGGGAGCAGGTGGAATACTGGTTAGCTGGAGCTGCAGCAGAGGGTGAGAAGCAGCCAGAGCCAGGTGGGGCAGCAGCCACACTCCATCAGCTCTGTCCAGCTGTGAGATGCCTGAATCTAGGCAAATAACAAGTTATTCGGGGCAATTTATAGACACTAAGTGTTCTGCTTGGGAACATCTGTCTGCCTTCTCCTGGTCTTCACATCCACGTGGGAAAGTTGTACTAAAGGAAGAAGCAAGAGAAGGAGAGGCAATTGTTTCCTACATGCATGCCCCTCCCACCCAGAGGCAATTGCAGTGTCTATATTGTGCAGAAAGCTCTGGAAGGAGGGGACTCTCCCAACAATGGGTGAGGGTGCACTTACCTGCCCTCAAGGCACTGCACGGCCTGCTTGTGGGTGAGGCCACTCAGACTCATTCCGTCTTCCTGCAGGGGCCTGTCACCTGCGAGGGAGACAGATGCCATTCCCACGGGTTCCTGAGGCTGTGGGGAGGACTCTCTGGGAGTCCCTGCCCATGCGTGGCCATGCAGCCTGGGAGAGGCAGGAAGCCACGCTGCAGGGGCACAGCCAGGCCTGAGTACCAGCGCTGCTCTGAACACCCCGCAGGCCAGGGACAGGGAACTCCTTCGATGGATGGGTCAGCCATCTCTGTGCAACCTCACCCCTTCTCCTGGTTTCGTGGCAGACTGTTTTAAAAGTTTTTGAAAGTCCCTTTTAAAATAGTATTTATCTCCAGGACACTTTTATTATTATTATTATTATTATTATTATCATTATCATTATCATCATCATTTCAAAAAAAAGGTCAAGGAGACCTGGTTGATGCCAGAGACACCGGAATTCTAGGGGAGAAGAAGTAAGGTCTAAGTTCCCTTTTCACTTCACTGCGGCTTCTGGAGAACAGCGTAAATCCCCTCCTTCAGGGAGCAGACACAAGGAAGGCAGAGAGGGCTCAGCAGAGCCTCCCAGACGCTCAGGCGGCATCACCCAGCCCTTGTCCTTCACGGGAACACTGTTGCTCCCACAAAGGCAAACGGTAACATGTTTATTTTAAATCTCACCTTTTTAACTCACCTTACGGTTTCCAACGTGCCCTGTGGACATCGGCTGCCATAGGAACCTATGGGGGTGGGCCAGGCTAGCATGTCCCTTTTCCAGGCGAGGAGCCAGGCCGGTGAGGCCTTCATTTGCTCAGGGCCTGGGTGGGAGTGGCAGCGCTCCCCCCAAAAGCTCGGCCCCATTCCTCACCCCGCAGGTCCGGCCTTCCTTGGCAGCTGGCCCTCCAGGAAGGATGGATTTCACGTAGATCCCTCCATACAGCACGCCGGTGTTAACGCCACCCTGAACGTATAATGAAAAACTCACACTGAAAGAGCCCCCATCTGCTGCCACTGTCTGCCATTGCACATCTCCATGTGACACCTCTTCATGTTCCCTGGTTTGCTAACCCCATGCTACCCCTGAGCAATAAGCTTAGGTGCCGGACCCAGCCCAGCAGTGGCCCATGGCAGGTGCTGGAAAATCAGCGTCTCGCCTATGCTCCACACTGTCTCTCCATAAGCAATAACCAACACTGGTGGACAGGAAGAGGGGCTGGTACCTGGCTCACCACTGACTGGTGCCTGGCATGTCCTGTATGCTTGTGTTGGGCTTATGGATACAAAAGTAGAATTAAACTACATGGTATTCTACAACTTACTTTTTTTTTTTTTTTTAACTTAACAGTTGATCATGAACACCCCTGCAGGTCACTAGTAAAGACCCAACTTTATGTTTTTCTTCTAATTACTTCATATGTGTACACACACATCTACACAGGTTTCTAGATCAGTGGGGTTACATCATTTCTGTTCCAGTGTTTCTTCCTTCCTCCAGGGTCTTTAGAAAGAGTTCATCAACCAGATGCAAAGTATCTGTCCTGGACAGAGGTCTTGCAAACCCAGCTTTGTCCTGAGCTTGGAACTGGGAGCACAGGTTCTGTCATGACTATGGATCATCCCTCTCACCTTTGGCTTGTTTCTCTCCAGCCCCATCCTGCTGCCCTCTCCTTGTAGCCTTGAGTGGAGGCCTGGGCCAGCCAGTGTGTGTGGAAAGCTTGGCTTCCTCCATTACTGGGGAAATCCAAGCCTCCTGCTTGCTCTGTGGCTGCAGCCATCTTAGTTAGGTTAATTTGTATTCTTGCTCCTGATTGGCTGGTGGGTGTGGCTGGTGGGTGTGGTGGAGTAATGGTTAATTTGCATATTACTCTTTTATTAGGTAGGATATACTAGAGACATATTGCAGGAATTCGTGCACCTGCCAAAACCAGTTTGGCTCAGTGGATAGAGCGTCTGTCTGCGGACTGAAAGGTCCCAGGTTCGATTCCGGTCAAGGGCATGTACATTGGTTGCGGGTACATCCCCACTTGGGGGTGTGTAAGAGGCAGCTCGTCGATGTTTCTCTCTCACCGACGTTTCTAGCTTCCTATCCCTCTCCCTTCCTCTCTGTGGAAAATCAATAAAATAAAAATAAATAAATAAATAAATAAATAAATAAAAATAAAAAATAAAAAAGAATTCGTGCACCAGTGGGTCCCTTGGCCTGGCCTGCAGGATTGGGCTGAAACAGGCTCTCTGACATCCCCTCAGAGGTCCCAGGTTACAGGAAAGTGCAGGCCAGGCCACGGGACCCCACCAGTGCTATCTGGGCCAAGGGAGGAACACAGGAGGTTGGCCAGCTGGGGAGGGACCATGAGAGGGCTCCAGGACGTGTCTGGCCCATTTTGCTCAATCCCCATCAGCCGGACCCCAGCATAAAACTAACCTACCAGAGTGTCTGCCCCCTGGTGGTCAGTGCACATCATAGCAACTGATTGGTTGAATATCTGGCCCCTGGTGAGCAGTACATGTCATAGTGAGCGGTTAAGCAGCCTTAGCATAACATTAGCAGATTATGCTTTGATTGGTTGAACAGACGACCAGACAACTGGATGACCAGACACTTAGTATATTAAGCTTTTATTATATAGGATATATATAATACTCAGCCATAAGAAAAGATGAAATACTGCCATTTGTAACAACATGGATAATATTGTTGAGAATATCACAATAAGCAAAATAAGTCAGATGGAAAAAGTCAAGAACCATATGATTTTACTCATATGTGAGATATAAAACTGAAAGCAACAAATAAATAAACAAGACAAACAACAACTCATAGACAGACAACATGATGGTTACCAGGGGGAAAGGGATTGGGGAGAAGAAAGGGTAAAGGGGTCAAATATGTGGTAATGAAAGATGTGACTTTGGGTTAGAAAAACACAATATAATATACAGATGATGCATTGTAGAAATCTACACTTGAGACCTACATGCTCCTGTTAACCAATATCACCTTAATAAATTTAATTTAAAAAAAATTAAATGGTTAAGATAGTAAGTTTTATGTTACATGTGTTTTACTGCAGTTAAAGTAAACTTTTTAAATGCAAACCTTAAAAAAGTCATTTACTGAAAGCCTCCGCAGGGTGCCAGAGGGAGGGAACTGCTGTGTTGTCTGGAGGTTTGGTGTTTAACCAACAGACAGATAAATGCTTGTGGATGTTGGGGTCCAGGGGCTAGGGTTGCTGCTCCAAAGGGAGCCAGTGATGTCAAGCAGCCACCCCTTTGCCAGAGCAAAGAAGCAGGTGCCAACTCTTTGGTAGAGAAGGGCAAGATGGAGATTGTACAATATATCAGGTTGGCATCCCCCTGGTGTCCTTAGTCTAAGGCAGGGGTGGAAAACCTTTTTTCTGCAGAGGGCCGTTTTGATATTTATAACATCATTTTTGTGGTTCATACAAAATTATCAACTTAAAAAATTAGCCTGCTCTATTTCGTCAAGCATTTAAGTAACTCATCTCTAGTGCCTTGGCAAGGCCAGACCAAATGACTTTATGGGCCTTAATAGCCTGCAGACCGGACATTCCCTCAGTTTCTCTCCACCTCCCACCCCCCATTCTATGGGTTGTTGAGTAAACAACTGCTCAGGAATGGCCCTGGGTATGGAGCCCACTTTTTCCATGTATATGCTTGCAAGCAGTCCCACCTGTCCTGTCCTGGCTCTGACTAATCTGTCTCATGCCCTGGGCTCCAGACAACAGCATGCACTGCCCCTGCCCACACAGACCCTGTTTTTTCACTTCTGAGAGCACCATGGGGCAGGGACTATGTCTGTTCTGATGGCTGATGACTCCTCAGTACCCAGGACAGGCACACAGCACATGCTCAACTAATTTTTCTAGCAAGACTACTGGGCCTTAGCTCGTGGCATTCCTATGTATCTTCCCTCCCTCTCATCCTACTGATGTCACAAATCCCTGCCTCCCCGAACCTCCTTACTTGAAAATAACCTCACCTCAAGGGAGCCATGACACTGCTGTATCTGTCTGCCTTAGACCTAACCCCATTGTATCCTTCTTTAGAGGGACTGTGTTCCTACCATCTCCCCTAGAGACTAGGAAAAGGGCACCAATATTAGGACACTCACTGCTGAGTCAGCCCATGTTCATTCTTCTATAACACCATTTAATTCCCAGAGGGGTGGGTATTCTGTTATCATCACTAGACAAATGAGGCACAGGCATGATAACTTGATCAAGATTATGGAGCAATAGACAGCTGAGCAGGTATTGGTAATGGATTTCAAAACGCTGGGCTCACTCCAGGATTCTGTCTGAAGGGGATCCAAGGCTGAGCCATCTATACACCAGCCACCGAGGAAATGCTGAGTGTCCCATCCACGTCACAGGATCAGCGGGCCGCAGGGTGTCAGCCCTTGGCCCTCCCAACTTCAACCACAGCAGCGGTGGGCAGCTCCACTGAGCTCAGGCTTAGCCCGTGCTGACAACATCCTGAGTCAAAGTCGGTCCTCCTGTCCTAGAGTTCCTGTACATCCTGGGTGACCCCACCTCCACTGCTCCCACTGGGCCCCTAAGTAAAGGAGCGTTAGTACCCCCCAGACCACCTTCCCCGGAGGGAGTGGCAGCAGTGTCCACCCTCTGTCCTTCACGTGAACACTCTGGAGGCCTCTGTGGAATCTCACTGAAATGAAGCCGACGCCCACACTGCTACCTTGATGACGCTGAGTAACCTCCCACTTTTGACCTTCCCTTCTGCGCCACCTCAGTCTGTGCTCACTCCTCCTTCCTGGAATCACCTCCACAGAAACCACGAGCACCGGCTCTTTGTCTCGGGCTGTGCTCTGGGGACCCTCCAGATGGCCAAGGGCCCAGAGTCCCCTTTTCATGTGAGGTTATAGGGAGCTAGCAAAGGTTGTGAAAACCTGGCATTTGTAAACTAGAATTAGAATGGTACCAGAGTTTACTGAGGATACCAACCCAGCTTTCTATTGAGGAGGCTGGCTGCCATGCCATGCTCAAAGCCCCTACTGCGCGTGCCAACTGGCAGGTCATCAGAAGCCCCACCGTCCTCGGGAAGGA